GCGGGCCGAGGTGGCCAGAACAGCTGGAAGGCCGTGCCTTCTGAGGACCCATTGTCTGCCCGGCCTGAGCGAGGGGAAGGAAACCCTGCTGCCTGCCACTCTCCACCTTGGAGAAGCGTTTGGCTTCCACTGGGCTCAGAGCCAGGGCCTGGGGTCCCAGCCGCCAGGGTCCTGAGAGCCAGCTGGGATGGACATGGCATGGGGCGCCCAGGGAGAAGCAGTAAGACACCAGTGGCCCGAGTTGGTGCCAGGAGTGGGTGGGGATGTCGGCAGGCCGTTTTGTGCATTCTCAGTGGATTCTTTTTTTTTTTTTTTTGGCATCATCTAATACTGTCATGGGCCTCCGGGGTGGGGAGGAAGACAGGAGCAATGCCTCAAGCACCCCAACAACCCCCACAACCATGTGAATGACATGTCTCTAGCTAGTGGGCAAGGCTTGTGAGTGACACAGAGAAACAACACCAACATAGGCCCTGAGCTGACACGCACATCGACTGGTCACTTACATCCCCGTGAGTCAGGGTCCGGGATTAGAGCTTGGAGGTGCGTAGACAAAGGCACCCAGAACCCAAGGAGGCATTCTGGATGGCTACACAGGGCCGACTCGCCGGGGAGGGAACGGCAAGGCATGAAGGAGGGGGGAGTGGAGATCTGGGTTTGACGCCTTCGCCAGAACAGGGGATGCTGGCACAAGTGTGTGCCGGGACCTGCGGAATCCTCGGGATTCCACTTGCTCAGGCCAGAGAGGATAAGACAGAGGCCAGCCCCGGGGGGCTCTCCCTCCCTCAGACAAGGCTTCTTTTCTTTCAGGGCCTGACTCCCAGGACTCCCCTCCACTGGCGTTAGCTTCCTCGATCTCCCCCTTGCCAGGCTTTCTACCAGGGGGACATGGTAGCCCCCAGGAGGCAGTCTGGCTTCAAAGGCTTGGTGCTGATGCCCGGTCAACAGGACATTAGCTGGTCTCTACAGCCCTGTGGCTTTTATTCCTAGCGCTGCCATTTCTATTCTGAGCTGTCCCAGGTCTTCTGGGCCTCTCTCTGTTCCTTCCTCTTGCTCTCTCAATCTCTTCCTATCTGTCTTCTCCCTTCCTCTCTCTGTCTCCCTCTTTCTCTTTCTTCTTCCCCCACTCTGGCCACCCCATAGATGAACATTCTTCCATGACCTTGTTTTGTGAAGTTTCCCGCTTGTGTGACCTTGGTGTTCTCTAAGGAGTTACCCGCGTTACTTAGAAGCTTCGGGGACACAGTAGCCTTCTGGGTGCCGGGCTGGGCCCACGGAGAGCCTTTTCCCAGGCCCATTGCCTACCTGTGGCTGGTGCTGCAGGTGCAGGGCCCACGGTCAGGGGTGTGTGTCCTCCAGCCTGGGATTCGACAGGTGGCAGCCAGTGCTAACGGCTGCCAAGCAGCCCGGGGAGGATCACCATGCCATGGAAAGCACACGGCCAGCAGAGGCCCACGCTGCTGAGAGAGCCAGACATGCCAGGGTCAGGACACCGAGGTCCACTGGAGACGAGGGCCAGTGCTGGAGAAGGAGGCCCTGAACTCTTCCCCCAAGATGCTGCTTTCCCCATCGCCCTGCTGGCTCTACTGTGAGCTGTCTACTTCCCTGCCTTCTAGAAGGTGCTTTCTGAAACCCTAATAACAAACATGTAACCATGAGGGGATGTCTCCAGGGTTTGCCTTGCCTCTGCTTCTCCCTGTCACCAATCTGGGTCTCCCGCGGGACTTGGGGGTGAGGCTGCTGAAAAAAGTTCAGGTGACTGTAGCCAGGTCTCCCCCACCTCAGCCTTCCTGAGCAGACTGAGGGTTGAGGAGAGAGGCTGGAAAAGGCCCGAAGCTGGGGACTTTTGACAGTGGGAGAGTTGGGGGAGGCAGGAAGAGTGGGATCAGCTGCGGGGTGGGGAGCTTCCTGCCAGGATTCCTGTTTCTAGGGGAGGCAGGACACATCAAGGAGGCATCTTGCTGCCCAGAGCAACTGTGCTGGTCCCTGGCACAGCCACCTGCTCGTGTGGCCTTGAGAGTGGCTGCTGGGATTTCTGGCCTCTGTTGCCTCAGTCAGTAGGGAGGAGGGCGGATGGGTAACTGCCAGGGCCCCTTGCCCCACTGGCACTCAGTGGGGCTCAGGTATGATGTGGCACCTGGTGCTTGGTCCTTTCAGTCACCAGGGAAGCTGTCTATGAGAATGCACCCCTCTGTTTTCAATTCAGGTGTTCCCTTTGCACCCCTTACCCCAAACATCAAGTGACCTATTTGTTGTCCTGAGTCAGAGCCTAAACTCTGGTCTGTCCTCGTCAGCCAGAGGCAAAGGGCCAGTCTTTTGAGGACACATCATCCCACATAGGCAGAGGGACTTCATGTGTGATCGGGGAGGAAGCACCTGGAGGAGAGGTCTGCAGTCCCCACAGCAGCTGGGTGGGTTTCTAGGTAGGTCTGAGGGAGTAGCCTGATGGTGTCATCTCCCAGGTGGTATCTGGGGGGCATAAACTGGACCCGGCTTGACAATAGTATTTCACTCAACAATGAAAAGCTGCTTGAGAAAAGTGAATCTGTGTCCTAGAAAAACTAGCCAGTGGCATCTTGAGCCACTTTCAGAGAAGGTGTGATCTCCTTATCCATATGTGTTGCCTGTGCTGAGGGGGGAGGGGCAGGGGAGGCAGAGGGCTTTTCCCCCAGGAAAGCCCTGCCCCATCCAGGTGCCGTGTGCTGACCACAGAGAATGTCCATTCAGCAGCTCCTCCCAGCCGTGGCCTTACTCTTGGCAAATTTATAAAGTGCTATCACGTGGCAGAAAGAAAAGCCTTCATTTTCTGGGTCTAGTCAGACTCACCTGCATACCTGAGCGGGCAACCCTGGTTGGCTGGGCAGCTGGGAGCACTGTGAACTTTGGGCAATGCAAACACCTTCCAGGTGTGAGTGGAGCCTCCTCTTAGATGGGGGCATGCATCTGCTGAGTTACATCTTTCCCAAGGTTGCGTTTTCACCCTTGGTGTGATCAGTTTCCCTTAAAGGAGAACACCTGTGAATAGCCCATCACCGTGGGCCAGGTAAGTCCCATGGTGCATTCGATCTGGTCTCTGCTTTCTGATTGCTCACCTGGCCTCCCACACGCAGCACAACTTAATTTCTCGGGGCCTCATGTTATTTTCCCCTTGGCTTCTGGTCATATCGCTGGGGGGGGCGGGGCTTGTGGGTGGTTGGCCAGGTGAAAGGACCCTTCTTGGCATCTGAGCTGCAAGCTCCTCTTTCTGTTTCTGGGTCTCTAACTCATGAAGCCCGCCTTCACCCTCTCTGCTTGCCCCAGACCTTCAAAGGCCAGCTCAAACTTCTGTGAAAAGCCTGCTTGGAGATTTCAAAAAGCATCTCTGGTTCTACAATATACAAGTCTATGTTCACCCTTTGTGCACCCCCAGAAAAGTCTGCCAGCCACAGACTTATGTTGAAAGGTCTCTAGCTTTGCATTACTGATACTCACTTATCCCACAGGGCTTCTGAATGCACAGGGACACTGTTTTTCAGAATGTAAATTCCTTACAAGGAGCAGGTCTGCTCACATTACTTGGCACAGTGGCCAGTAAGGTGCAAGTGATAATTGAAATTTTTGAATGATGCTCAAATATCTTTAGATTGTCTGGAGAGCATGTTATGGTGTGATTTTCTTAGTTAAATAAAAATCTACATGGCACGGGCAATTTATAAGTAGCAGAGGAAGGCAACAGAAAGTAGCAGGGGAAGGCAACAGCTTTCACCTGTAGCTTCTGCTTCTTCCAGAGACGTTTCTGAACAGCGGTGGCACTGGGCGGTAGAGCTGAGACAGCGGGAAGAATCGTTTTTTCTAATAGCCTAGACATTTTTCCCCCAGCAAGAATCTAGTTTGGTTTTGTTTCCCTCCTTGATCTCCACCTTTCTGTTTTCCTGCCAGGCTGCAAGGTAGCAAGGACAGTGACTGAATAAACAGGCTGCCCATCAAGGTTATTTACTAGAAGAACTGGTGACTTTTCTGAAAGCAGAATCCAGGAAGAATGAGAACCTCTTCCCTGCAATGGTTTAGTAAGCAGAGCTAAGTCTCTGTCTTTTCCTGTCTCCTCCTCCTCGAGGAAAGGCATTTAATCTGTACTTTCCAGCACTTCCCCAACCCTATGGGTCCACAGAGTGATAGGTCATTTCGCTCCCAATATATACATGCCTCAAATAAATCACAAGGACAAGACTCGCTAAGTCAACTCACCTGGGTTTTCTTCGATTTTCTACAGATTAAAGGGCCACTATTTCTTCCCCACCTAGCTTTTCAATAGTGGTTGAACTTCGTCAATAGCTCCAAGACAGGAAATACTAAGTATTGCAAGTCAGCAAGTGAAATAGTCCATATTCGTGGTAACCTCACCAACTGGACAGAGAGCTTCACATTTTAGAATAAAATTATGTCCGAGGTCATTATTTCCTAGGAGACGGGGCCAACCTTATTTAGAAGGAAGGGGTGGTGAAATCTCATTGCTTTGTGATATCATTTAAGTGTCTCCACTATGACCGAAAAGACAGATTTCTGAGAAAGATGTTGAGATATAAAATAAATTTGCAATAAAACGGAGGGGGGGAGTGTGCTGGACTATGGTGACGGCACACGGGTGTTTTGGTGATGGGAAGCCCACGGGGATGACAACTGAGATGGAAAAAGGCACAAAATGATGTCAAAATAAACTATTATTAAAAATAATTAATTACATAAAAATAACGTTGTAATAAGTGTATTGCAAAGTAAACCCACCCCCAAACTTGGCTAAAAACTAATTCCTGGGACTGTCATCCCCCTGCCCACTCTCCTACAGTCCTGACCTTGTCACTTGATGCGACTTTGATTTACCTTTTGGCCTCAGGTTATTTTTACAAACCAGGAAGTCAGCTTTAAAAGTTTTTGAACTCCAGTCATTTCACTATGAACCATCATTCCGAGGTTCTGGATCCATCGGGACACTTTGGTTAACAAACCAGACAAAAAGAATGTCAGGTGTTTCAATGTTTTATTTTGTTGATTCTTCACCGCGCAACGAAAACAAAGTTAGAGAGAAAAGAATATGCCCGTTAAATTCGGCTACTACCCACAACCCAAAACCTTAAACAGAAAAATCAAAGCAAGCGTTGCTAGATCATAACATTATCTTGGGTGAAGTAATTTGTTAACGTCTGTAACCAAACAAGACCGGCCATCTGCTGAGTTCTTCCACTGCAAGTTGCAGCCGCGGGGCGAACCGGCCCTGCACGGGTGAGCCAGCGCGAGGGGCCGCGGAGGAAGCGCGGACCCCGGCGGCCGAGCTCTGCGGCCGGCCCCCGCCGAGCCGCCGGCTTTTGGGGCGCAGTCTCCTCTGCGCCTTGGCGGAGCCGGAGGGAGCGTTTATTAGCGATTGTGCGTTCTGGCAAGACGGCGACTGCGAAACGAAACGCCTCGTTACCTATTTTAGTACGCCAGGAACACCGTCTCCGGGAAAGGTGATTGCTTTTGTTGGTCAACAAGCTGCAATGTTTCAAGCAAGCGAGGCTACCTGTGGGGAGGGGAACGAAACCGTGCGCCTCGGGTTCTGAACGGCCTGAGAAGGAGTCATCGCCCCTTCGCAGCACCGCGACGCCCCCCGTCTGACGGCCGAGTCTGTCGCAGCTACGCCTGGAACTATCTGCACCGACCAACCGGCTGCTGGAGGCACGACTGCCTCCCACGACAGCTGGGCTAGCGGGACCGCGACGCCACTGACCTCTGGCCCCGGCCCCCGAGAAGGAGAGCGCCCGGCCCTGCCCGGCCCGGCCCGGCCCGCCCGCGGAGAGCAGCCCCGGCCCCTGGCTCGTCGGTGCCGCTTCTGTGAGCAGTCGAGCTCCGGGCTGGCCTCCTGCCGCCCCAGGGCTGGCGCCTCTCGGTGAAATTCACCGCCCCGAGAAGCGCAGAACTTCAGGGACCCCGGGGGATTTGCTCTGGGTGAGTGTGGGGCTCGAGCGCACCGGCTGCCCGCCGCACTGGAGTCGACCCGGGACCCCAGACAGCGCCCACACTCGGTCCAACATCCGCTCGGGTGACTGACTTCCCGCAGTGCGGGCTGGGGAGGGGACGCCCGACAGTCCCTTCTTCTGGGTGAAAAGGCTCAAAACGCATTCCTGCTCCAGGCTCGGTCCCGCTCTCCCCTGGCGCGAGGCTCGGGGGCTCGAACGCCCGGGCCGAGGTGGCGCCCCGGGCCCGGGCCGGGTCTCACTTGGAAAACTGCGCCTGCACGGCGGCCAGGCCCAAGCCGGCCGGGACGAGATGCGGGAACTTGCAGACCGCGCAGGTGCAGAGCCCCGGGCCGCCCGC